TCAAGCTCAGCTCCATCCTGCGGGTGAAAAACCTCTGCACGAGCGACTTGCTGTTCGACCCGGGTGAGGAGCTGCGGCCGTGGGGGTGGCCTCCGGCTCCTCTCGTGGCTTAAACCCCCGCCCAGGCCGGGTTTAAAGCCGCTTTTGCCGGCGCGATGCCAGCCCTGGCAGGGCACGGGGGTGCCGCTGCTGAGCGGTGGGATGGGAAGCAGAAAGGGCAAAACGCTCGCTTGTGCCGTTAAGTTTTGCGTGCGCTGGTGCATACGATCCCCCGACGGCTGGAGGAAGGGGTCCTCGCGCTTCCCGGCCGTAGAAGTGAACAATAACAGCAAAGTTAACTATCTTACCGAGGTTAGAAACTTTGTTTTCAGGGGAAAAAAAAATACAGAAGTTACCGAGCCTCACTTCTCTGAGGCCCCTCTTTTATCTGCCGGAAGATCCTGGGGGGGTTTTGCCTCAGAAATCTCCCAACCTACTTTCTTTTTTTTTTTTAATCTGTCTGCTCAGCGTGGCAGAGAGATTTCAGTCAAAACCTTGGTTTCTGCCTTTTTTTTTTTTTTTTTTTTTTTTTGTGTGTGTGCGGGAAACCTGCCTGAACCCACTGGCCCGAAAGCATCAGTGAGGGGGGAGATAAAGGTGCGGCTTTCGGGTTCCTGAAACCTGTGATGTCTGAAAGACGTTTGTGAACTTGCAAACGCGGGAAGGAAAGACGACAAGAAAATGAGAACGGAGCCTTAATGCGAATTGCATGAAACTGCTGACCCGCCGAATAGAAACCAAAGTGGATTCCCTTGGGCCTGGGGGATTTCTAACTCCACACCAAGGGTTTATGCTCTGGGGTCTTTCCCAGAACTCGCAACCTCCATGAATATTCCCGTGCAAAGGCGTCTTGGTTCGATACAGACCTCGGGGTTGTGACCGTTGTTTGTCAGGGAAACGGCTTGTGCCGAACCCGTGATCTCGGCCTTGCAGAACTGAACGCCTTTTTCCCTCTCTGCTGCCAGGCGTGACCTTCTCCGAGGCCCGGCAAAGCGACCTGGCCTACCGCGGGGTCGCCCCCATGCCACGGGAGATGGCTTTCCCTGTGCCCAAGGGAGAGAAGTGGCACGACCTCTACGACTACATCAGGTACGGCTGCTCCCGGCTGCGCTTGACCCCACCGCGGCTCTGAGACGTCCCGTCCCCCGGGGGGAGGCAGGGTGGGTGACGCCGCTTAAGGAACGACAGATCCGAACAAACCTGGGGCTCAAGCGGCGACGTTTTGGTCACCCAGCGTTTAGGTGTCATTAATACGTCTGCCCTGGTCTAAGCTTAATTGCTGACGGGTGATATTTTGGGGTAGGAAAAAGGCCGCGGAGCGCTCCCGCGCCTGGCGTTAACCCGGGTCCTCTCTCTCAACGGGCTCTTGCTGGGATTGCTCCCGTGGCTGGCTCGGAGCGACGCGAGCCTTTCTCCTGCGCGTGCCGTTCCTGGGGAGCGCGTCGGCCTCTTGCGGAGTTCAAGGGCAGGCTGACGGGGGCCGCTGCGCTGCCGTGGGCCGTCACGCCTCCGCAGGGGGCGGACGTAAGCGTACCATCCTCGGCTTCGGCGCCGGGCTCCCACCGGCGGTGAGGTTTTTGCCAGAGAAGTGTGTCGGTCACAAGCTGCTGCTCATCCCAGTCATCAGCTTAGCGGTGTTGGCTAAAGCGCGCAGCGCCGAGCTAAGCCTTGGGAAGTACCAGTGTAGGTCGGACCTGGGAGATGCTTCAGTATCCTTATATTTGGGGGAGGAGGAGGCAAAAGGAGGAATCTTACAGGAGACAGCGAAGAGGCTTTTGGGCCAGGCAGTAATTTCCCATGTGATCATAGAATCATGGCATCGCTTTGGTTGGAAAAGACCTTTAAGATCATCGAGTCCAACCTTTAACCTAACCCTGCCATCCCACCACTAAAC